CCCCCCACCCAGAACTTTTTTGTTCACAGGGAGAGTCGGTAGATCGGGAACACCTGTACCGGAAAAAATCCCCGAGGGGGGCCGGGAGGCTGGGGAATTCTGGGACTTGAAGTCCACACATCTTAAAGTTGCCAAGGTTGAGAAACACTGTTCTGGAGTGAGGGTGGGTGGTGTTTCCTGCAGAGAATTGAGGATTTAGCAAATTCTCACAGCAGATTAGAAAAACTGACATACAAATCGTCATCAGTTTGAGTGAGTCATTTTTTTCCCTCTGAAATAAATGAGTATTCTTTCACTTCTGAACTCCTCCGGCTTGTTAAAAAAAATAATCACAAAACAGAGAATGCAGAAAGAAGTCATAATAACTTGCACATATTCATTATCTCAGCAAGTGAGGCTGGCAGGGTTAGATCTTCCGCAGTTTGCTTTTCTGAGAGTTATGTAAAAAAACTCAGTGTGCAAGGAGGAGGAAGGAAATAAAGCAAGAAATAAAACTTGACTATCGCACCATGAGCAGTTTTTCACACCTACACAATGGTTGAATAACATTTTGTGTGTCTAAGGTAAGTTAATACACTTGTAAAAAAACTCAGTGTGCAAGGAGGAGGAAGGAAATAAAGCAAGAAATAAAACTTGACTATCGCACCATGAGCAGTTTTTCACACCTACACAATGGTTGAATAACATTTTGTGTGTCTAAGGTAAGTTAATACACTTACTGTGCTCTTCTGTACGTTGTACAGCGAGAGACAGATAGTCCACAGGGGTGGGCCTTCCGTCTTCCAGTCACAGCCACCATCTTGACCTACACTTGCAGAGGCCCCTGGACACACATATACATGCTTTTTAATAAAAATTGTTCTTTATTGACAGAGTTGATAACTCATACCAATCAAACCAACTCTGAACAGCTTACAGTTCTCAAAATGTGTCAATTGAGTTCAAGGCAAGCAAGATAAACAGTCAAGTCAAAGATGACTTCAAACCAAACTAAAAACCATACATCACAATTCAGCTGTACATAAACCAGGAACCTAAATCTTCAAAACCAAAGAAACAACTGATTGTACAGAGGGATAGTCACAGCAACTCTACCCCCAAGGTTTGATGGCACAATCAAATCTTTATAGACTTTTTGAAAGTTGGGGGGGGAGAGGGAGAGGCATTTGAACATCTGAGAAGATACTATTTCACAATGATTGAGAACACATGCTTCTGTGGCCATTATAGATGACAATCTTTGACTGAGGGAGAGAAAACCCACCCTATTAGGTCTTACCAGGTGGGCAGACACTGCCAGGAGAAGGTGGGACTATGGATTTCCAGGTCCTGAACCATGAAGGGCTTTAAATGCAACAAGCAGCACCTTGAATTGCACCTGGAGGGCAACTAGTTACCAGTTACCAAGGTAGAGATGTTATAGGGGTTCCTTGAGGCTCATCCATAACTATTCAAGCCACTGCATTCTGGGCCAACTGTAGCTTCTGAATGCTCTTCCAGGGTAGCCCCATGGACAGCATGTTGCAACAGTCTATTCAAGAGATGATGAAGGCATGAATGACTGTGGCCTTAGTTAGAGGTGGAGAATTCCAAGAGGTTCTCAGATTGTGAACTGGTCCTGTTCAGGGGAATATGACCCTATTAAGAACTAAAGATGGTACTCACCATATCCCCAAATGTAGCCGATGGGGGTACTTGGGGACTCTTCTTCTGCCCGCTACTTCTTCCTCTCCACTGGATACTAAGACAAAAGCAGAAGAGTACAAAAGACCCTAGGAACATAATTCTCCAGGACTTGCAGGCCTAATGCTCCAAGAACTCTGGACTCATTGTGCTGACTTTGCCAAACTACCAAAAACACTAGGAGAAGGGAAGAAGGGGGTGGTAAAGAAATAAGAGGCAAGGAGGTTATGGCACAATAAGTTACAGGATGGTAGATTCTGACTGAATGTTTTAAAAAAAAAATCTTAAAGATAAGAATCGTTTGACAGTGAAACAAATTGTCAAGGATGATTAAAAGTAACCTTCATTGGATATATTCATGTGGAGGCCAGATTGCCATCTCTGGGAAATCTTTTCATTTGGGTTGCTGCATTGAATCTGGGGATTGAATTCAGTTGCCTGAATGGCCCCATCCATCCTTAGAATGATTTGCAAGTGCAGACAAGCCTAGATCACTTTCGAGTGGAACAGAAAGCTATCAGAAAAAGACTGCACGTAAGTGTATATAAGCATAATTTTTAGGTAATCCAAAGGGAATACAATAGGCCAAATCGTAACACCTACACACACAATCTTCCTATCACATATATTAAAGCCCTAGTGTTATAACTGCTCATTAACTTTGAAAATTCCATCCTTTGCTTCAGTAGCTAGCTTGCTGGCAAATCAAGAGGTAGCAAAGAGAGAGAGAGAGAGAGAGAGAGAAACAGCACAGAATAAATTATTTT